CACACACACACACACACACACACACACACACACACACATCTATAAACAGCACCTCTGAGCGCTGTGAGAAACGCACCTGAAAGAGAGTAAACCAGAGAAAGGCAAGGTGAGGCCATTAACCTTGAACAGAAAAACAGGACGAGTACACTGTCCAAGGAAAAATAAGACTCCTGCTCACAGTGTTCTTTAGGTGAAACCCTGCACTTAAAAAGACCACGGCAAAAAAAGCAAGTCGTTAGACAGTGATTTATAACCTGTGTCGTACAAATCAGAGTGAACAAATCCTTATCAGATCTAAATACATTTGTACCTGGTGCATTATCTCCAGGTTGGTAAGAATTTTTTTTTTTTTGGAAAGAAGTCTCTTAGGCTCTGCATTTATTTGATCAAAACTGAAAGAGAGTAAACCAGAGAAAGGCAAGGTGAGGCCATTAACCTTGAACAGAAAAACAGGACGAGTACACTGTCCAAGGAAAAATAAGACTCCTGCTCACTTCAGAAATCATTCTAATATGCTGAATTGTTGCTCAAGAAACATTTATTTTTTATTAAAATAAGATGTGCTGCTTAATATGTTTTTGGATACCATCATACTTTTTTAAGTATTATCTGATGAATATAAAGTTCAAACGAACAGCATTTATTTGAAATACCTTTTTTTGGTGTAAGAGTTATTTGGCCACTTATGATTAAATTTAATGTGCCTTTTCTGATTAAAAGTATTTTAAAAAAATAACAGACCCCCAACATTTGAACAGTAGTATACAAATATTGCACTGATCACTTCTTGTATTCCTCATTTTAAGCCACTTTGGATAAAATCAACAGTTAAATAAAAAAAGTGTATTTTTTTTATTTAAACATTATGTTAGTTTTACTTTCTCATCTCATAACTTGCATTAAGATGTATTAATAGTCTCTGATTGAAACTCCATTTGCAAAAATTATATTAGTGTTGTTGGTAAGAGTAATTTATTACCATGAATAATTTAAAACTATTAGCTCAATACATTTAAAAATGGATTTGAACCGATTAAAATTTAATGATTAATACATTCTGCATGGCATTTTTAAATGTTTTCACATATTTGTAGGTAAATGTTGCTGTTTATTACTATATATTGTTGTTATTGGCGAATATGCAAATAATGCAAGATCATTCTTCCTTTAGTGAAGGACATCATTGAAAACATGCCTTATTCACAGTATATTTGACCTTATTTTAATTCTTACATCAAGCATCTTGAATCTACAGTACTGGTTGAAGTGATGGTTCACTTGATTATGTCCTGCTTTGTGTGGTTCTCATTTATGGCTTATATTACAGCAAGTCAGCATTTCAGGGATGTGAGCCCTCTTTAAAGAGTGTGTTATGACAAATGACAAATGCTGTCCAAATCAATAATGTAATCAACACCCGTCTCTGCTCGAAAATACACTGAGCTACAGCTGCATGTATAGAGCTGAGTCAGAGAATTATTGATCAACACACAGCCATCCAACATGACAGCCTTAACTACTGACCTTTATCTGGATGATTTAGTACCACGATCCTTCCGTGGGCTTCCAGTACCTTTGCCTTAGTGCTGGTCGGAACTGCACAAAACAAGAAAACAGAACATTTAGAAAAGAAGCACACCACCATCTCGTGGACACGGTGTGAACTGCTGTATGAATCTAATTACAGGCCTCCAGACTGATTTTTTGCACTAGTCTGATATCAACATGTGTGGGCTGTCTCCATCACTGCACACATCAACTGGAAATACTCAATCTGTACATCCCCTGAAAATCCCCAATTTAGTGGGCAAAACAGGCAACAGAACTGAAAAAAAAAGGTATTCGCATATGCTTAAGGACTTTTTTTTTACTCTTTTGACAAATGGATAAACAACAACAGCAAATGGACAAAGCAAATGGCAAATGCTTTTTTATGCAAATATACATCTTTAAATGTTTAATTAATTTACAATTTGATTGCTTTAACTACATTTTAAAACATTAAACTTTTTTTAAATGTCAATTTATTTTCCAATTTTTAAAATAAATAATAAAATATTTAACGAAATATTTAAAATAATAAAAAAATGTTTATTTAAAAATTATTAAGATATCCACTGAAAGCTTTTGTTTTTCTGGTGGTGCTGGATACTAATAGTATATATTCATTAAGAATTACTTAAAATTAGAGAAATTACCTAAAAATCCCCAAACATCTTTACAATTTGTTTGACATATATAAGCATAATTACTTTTAAAAAATATACATATAATATACCTCTTCCTTTAGTCAGGATATAGTAGTGTTTCCTTTAAGGATGCACATTCAAATGTGTGTATTGATTAATTTGATTAGATATGAAGCATTGAGTTATGGTCTGAGGACAGGTGGTTTTAGGCATCCTTACCGAAAAGATAAATAATGTTCTTTCCAGCCAACAGCTGTCAGGGTTTAGATCTGAGTCATAGCTGAATAGCCAGAAGTGATGATTAAAAGATACATTAATGCTTGCACACAAGTGTTCAGTCCTACAAAACCTCCTCTAAAGTCTCAAATCATATGCGGGAGTGGGTGTCTGAGAGGGGCCTGAGAAACTAATTAAAACACTGTGCGGCGCGGATGATTCCAGAATGTGATGACGAATCTGTCAGACTAAACTGCATTTGTCGGAAGAGTCAGAAGATATGTGTGGCATTCGGGAGACTAAACTGTGTGCGCAAATGCATTTAAAATCAGCAATGAATATAAGGATGATCAAAGAAAACACAAACATGACTGCAAAATAAATAAATAAATAGTGCAAGAAGAGGCTGATTTGATCTAAAATACAGTAAAAACAGCAAAATATTATTACACTCTAAAGTAGCTGTTTTCTATTTTAATATATGTTCAAATGTAATTTATTTCTGTGATGAAAAGCAGAATTTTCAGCATCATTACTCCAGTCTTCAGTGTCACATGATCCTTCAGAAATCATTCTAATATGCTAATTTGCTGCTCAAGAAACATTTCTTCTTATTATTATATTCTTAATATTATTGTATTTTCAGGATTCTATGATGAACAGAACAGAAAGTTTAAAAAAATATTTATTTGAAATATAAATCTGTTGTAACAGTATAAATGTATTTACTGACACTTTTGATCAATTTATTGCATCCTTGCTCACTAAAAGTATTAATTTATTTTTAAAAATTATAAAAAAAGTTAATTTTTAGATGAAATATCCCTTTACAGAACACAAATAACTGTACAAATTAGCAAAATTTATCATGGGTGTAGAGAGATCAAAATATATCAAAGCAAACAGTAACATTACTGAGGCCAGTTATTTCAGCTGTGAGTGACAGACACCAAAGTAAAGCTCAAGACAGATGAGAAGAGAATAATAAAAACTATAAACCCGAATCAGTACCATTTTATGAGCGTGAATGCGGTTGACCGAGTTCATACTGATCACATCCAAGAAATATTGGTCACAGTCTGGTTCAGTTTTATGAAAAAAATTAGTCCAGTTTGATTGACAACACAAAGAATTGAGGCACACGGCAATGACGCAAGCACTCAGAGGAGGAGGGTGGTCCACCAAAAAGCAGATTACAAAGTTAGAGACACAGCTGAGACTTTTTCCCATTAGACGAAAGGATCAAAGCCGTGACGACAGGAGATGACGACCGACTTCAAACCAAAAGAATTGCCCCCAGACTTAACCGCATGCTCTTCTGGGAAGTGCAGTGATGCAGTGTGTGTGTATATACTGTAAAACACCTTTGTTTTCTTCCATGACAACTCATAATGAGAGAATTCAGTAAGAGGAATTGCAGTGATTTAGGGCTTTGTTTAGCCCACAATTACCTGATCCCAAGAATAAAGCTGGCTTCCCGTCTGGTCATCTTCTGCTCAAAATCCACCTTTGTAATATGCAGAAAATGACTAGGAAAGAAGAGAAAATGTTGAAAACAATGATCCAAATTCAAAGTTAAGCTCTATTATCAACTGCATATATGTTGCCAGGAAAACAAATGGCGCCTTTCTCAGTTTTAAACAGTTAGAATGGAAATACACAGGGTCAGGCAGTAAACCTTAACATACACACTCTTCTCAAAGTGTCACAAGACTTCAATCTTACGTCCATGAAACTAGGATCATAGAATCACTTGTAAAGTTTCAATTGGGTTGTCACGATCAGTGTTTGGGTAACAGTAACACACTGCAAGTAACGCGAGTTACGTAATCAGATTACTTTTTTCAAGTAACTACTAAAGTAACGTATTACTTTCCATAAAAAGTTACTAAGTAATGCAATTAGTTACTTTTTAGGGAGTAATGCAATATTGTAAAAGTAACTTTCCCCAACACTGGTCATGATACACACAATGAGAAATTATGTAAGTATCTGTAAAGCACAGACATTACGCTGGTAATCTGTAATCAGAAGTTCATTTACCCAGAAAAGTGACTGCAGCTGAAAACGATTTCACCAACTATACAGCTCAAATTATAAACAGGGTTTAACTCCTCTAAGTGCTGTAATAAAAATTTAAGCTTTACATTTCTAACATTTTTTGGTTTGAATTT